GGAGTGTAAAAAACACAAAAATATATTGCTGTATGTAAATTATACATCAATAATTTATGCATAATTTACATATTTACTAAATTGTATACTTATCAAAACAGAAAAAGTAAGTTTAATACGTACAGTTTAAAATCATGCAAAATGGTGCTATGTATTGCTTAGGCATTCATATATATATATATATATATGTATATATATATATATATATGTAGTAAAAGTATTTTTTACTTTTTTTGTGAGTGATAAACCCCAAGCAAAGGGTTTTTGGCTACTTTAGGGATGAAAGGGAACTAATAAATCAAGTAAAGGGACTCCGGGGGCTTCCATTGGTTGGTAGTGTTTTATGTATTAAGCTGGGCACATATGTTCATTGTATTATTCTTTTATTTAGTTAAAATATTCTTAATTTAAAAAGTAAAATATGCTCATTGTAAAAAATAAATTCAAACAATACAGAAAGTTATAAATTGAATAGGAAGGCCTTATATATCTTTCCACATGTTTTGTTTCATTATATTTTTTGTTATACCTATTTGTATGTCTTAAGTATTTCACAATTAATTGAAAACAAAAGTCATCTTGTCCAAACTCTCAGTTAACTCCTCGCGGTGGGGGGCTCTCTCCTTGGTAACTTCCTGCTTATACTCAATCTGAGATTAGGTCCAGCAAGGGTAACCTTGGGTTATGACAATGACACTTCTCTCAGTTCCACTCCATATCATCCCCCTAGGCTACCAACCTGGCCCCCGCGGACCCCAACGGCAAAGCAGACCCCTATGTGGTGGTGAGCGCTGGCCGGGAGCAGCAGGACACCAAGGAGCGCTACATCCCCAAGCAGTTGAACCCCATCTTTGGAGAGTGAGGCTGGGCCCTGGGGTTTGGGAATGGGGAGCAACTTGGCCATCCAGCCCTGTGGCCCAAGGGCACTTGCTTAGATAGCTGGCATGCTGGTGGGGGATGGGGGGAGAATGGACAGAGGCTGTGAGACCCTTAAAGCCTCTACCCCCACAAGACCACCTCCTAGGGCAAGGAGATGCCCTCAGCCATTCTCCCTCCTGTCCAGGGTCCTGGAGCTCAGCATCTCTCTCCCTGCCGAGCCAGAGCTGACTGTGGCTGTGTTTGATCACGACCTTGTGGGTTCTGATGACCTCATCGGGGAGACCCACATTGATCTGGAAAACCGGTTCTATAGCCACCACAGGGCGAACTGTGGATTGGCCTCTCAATATGACATGTGAGTCTGACAGAACCCTCAGGAGCCATTCTGAGTCTGACCAAAGACATTCAAGTTCACATTGGGGTGTCCAGATCCTTTGATTTCATAGAAGGGGACCTCCCCATGACCAAGACCTTATAGCTTAGTGGTCAAGATCTAGGTAGGCTTGGGAGTTGGGATCCTGTAACTAATGAGCTACACTTGACCTCTCTGAGCCTCAGTTTCCTCATCTGCAAAATGGAAGTAATAATACCAGTATCTCCTTCATAGGAGCCCCTGGCATACATCTTTGATTTTCATAGTTACCATAAGCGATGACTAGGCTATCTTCCACTGGAGTTGTGAACCTGGGTTCCATGTCTTCAAGGGTACTCATCCCTTCCCCTGTGTCCAGCTGTGTCCATTGCTGGCCCCAACTGAGGCATCTTCCTTTTCTGCCTGCAGGGACGGTTACAATGCCTGGCGCGATGCATTCCGGCCTTCGCAGATCCTGGTGGGGCTGTGCCAACGCTGTGGCCTCCCTGCCCCCGAATACCGAACCGGGGCTGTCAAGGTGGGCAGCAAAGTCTTTCTGACATCGCCTGAGACCCTGCCCCCAGGTAACAGCCCCTCTCTGCTGGACAGTCTAGAGGGAGTAAGATGGTAGAACAGAGTACAGGGGGCCCCTGGTGATCAGTCTAGTGCGCCCCGCAAGGATTCCGCCTCCTTCTGCAAACAGAGGAGGTGAGTTTGGCTGAGTAAGGATGAGGTTCTTGAGTGGTGGGGGGAAAAGGGTCTTTGTTGGTTAGCATGAGATCCCCAAAGAGCCAAAGTGGATCCCTCAGAGCCATAGCTAATCGAGTTCCCAGAACACAGGGTGGCCCATAGCGGGTCCCCTACAACAGAATGCAGTTGCCAAATTAAGCTCAGACCATAAATGGCAAGTGGTCCGTCTCTAAACAGGATCTGCACAAAGGCCACCGCCCCTCCAATCCCACTGTCCCTCTGACTGCTGGCTTTTTACTGGCACAAGTTGTTACAGCAGCAGACCCCCACTTTCTGTGCATTGTGGATTTGCTCTCCCAGCCCATGGACTTTGTCCACCACAGCAGCTGCCTCAGCTTAGAGCTTCTATTGAAGGCGAGAGGAGGAAGGGAGGAGAGTTGGGAGCTGTGAGGAAGCCAGACTCACACACCTCTTGTTGCAGGTAATAGGGAGCCCAAGGTGGCAAATGAGGTCCCCGAGGAGGCCCAGGCATTGATGGTGCTGAGGCGCTGGCAGGAGATGCCAGGTCTTGGGATCCAGCTGGTACCTGAGCACGTAGAAACGCGGCCCCTCTACCATCCCCGCAGTCCGGGGCTGCTGCAGGTGAGGGAGGGCTCAGCACCCAATTCCAGAACCCCAGGACTCACACCCAGTCCTGGACCCTGGGCCCCCAAGATGCCCGTTCCCCAAGACCTCCACCTGGGCAGTATGCTGCCGCCTCTGATTCTGGCCCCCAGCATCCCCACTCCAGTCTTGGACCTCCATCCTGGACCTCACACCCCGTCCCCTGACTCTGGTCCTGCAGGATTCCCACCCCTGGACCACCAGGGCTCAGATGTGGCACTCCCAGCCTGCCATCAGGCCCCTAGGATCTGGACCTCAGGAACACCAGATCTTACTTTTGCTCTTAACCTCTCACTTCTGGAGCCTCATCCCTAAGCCCCTACCCTAACCTCAATTCTGGAACCTCCACTTCAGACCCCGCCTTCATCCTCATCACACAGGATCTGCCTAACCATGCCTTCTTGACCCCAGCTCTTCTCTCCACCTCTGGCAAGGCACAGCCTCTGGCTACAGGGCTGTTAGGGGACATGGGGACCCCAACAAGACCCTTCAGACTGGTGCTACTTTACATGTGTCTCCAGGGATCCCTTCACATGTGGATTGACATCTTCCCCCGTGATGTGCCTGCACCACCCCCAGTTGACATCAAGCCTCGGCAGCCAATCAGGTGAGAGAGAGTCCTGGCCCCTCCTCCCGTGGGGCGGGCAGATCTTGGACTACCATGCAGAAGCCCTCTGAAGACCTCGGTCCCCTGTGAAGCAGGCAGAGGCTGCTGACTCAGTCTTTGCATTTAGGTGAACCATTAAATCCTTTTCCATAGCCTTCATGGGTTGGGTGTCTGTCACTTGCAACTGAAAGAGTCCAAATACCAATAAGCCCCCTTCCTCTCTGAGCTAGTCATAGTAGAATTCTGTGTAGGGTGTAGGTACTTCAGATGTTGTCAGCAATCTGTCACTTTCCACCTCTGGACTCTGTTTTTCTTGGTGTCACTCTCAGGGAGACTTTCACAGTCTGGGGGCAAGGTGGCTTCTAATGGTGCCAGGTTTACATCTAACCAACCAGACTACTTCAGCAGAAAAATACACACCTCTTTCCCAGTTGCAGTGAAAGTCCCGGGGCCCACTCTCATTGGACCAGCTTGAGTCAAATGCTGATCCCTGAACCAATCAGTGTGGTCATCGGGCTATAATATGTTGATCGGCCAGTCCTGGATGATGTCTTAGGTGATGTACCCACCTCCAGAGCCAGGTAGTCTGTCTGCCTCACCAGTCACACAGATTGACAGTAGTGAGAGTGGAGGTGGAGGTCACCCACAGAAAATCAGGGTGCTGTCAATGAATGAGGGGAAATTGATACTGGGCAAGAGAAAACAGATATCCAAGAAACACCACGACAGCCAAGGACAGGGCTATTTAGGGTAGGATCAAGAATGTTGCAACCCCTTTTTATCCTTCAGTGGCTGTATGCTGTCATGACTACTCTCTCCTCCCGCTTCTCTCTTCACACTGACTTTCTTGGCTCCCGTGCTACTCCTCTGCACCCCAAAACTTCAGATTGGATGTCACTTTGGCTCACAGTGGCTCCATCTCTGCATCTGAGGCTATCTGACTTAACTTTTCAGGGTCCTAATTCCAAATATATGGGAAGGAGGACCTCGCTGGCCCACTTGGGTCAGCACCATTCCTGATGTCATCCGCTGTGGCTGGGGTGCCTTTCAAGGAACCATGTACATCCTGATCACCCAGCTGGGCACACAGGTGCTCAGTGAATGTCAGTGGCCCTGGCCCAGGCCCTTCCTGCTTCCTCCCAGCACTCCTCTCGAGTCTGAAACCCCTCCCCTGATCCATCCCCCAGCTATGAGCTCAGAGTCATCATCTGGAACACGGAGGATGTGGTTCTGGATGATGTGAATCCGCTCACTGGAGAGATGTCGAGTGACATCTATGTGAAAAGGTAGGCCTGCTGGCTGGGCTGGACTAAGGGCTGTATACTGAGGTGAGATTGCAAACAGGGCCTTGGGCCATCCTGCTGATCGAGGGCTCTGTTCCCTAAGCCCTCTAAGGTGCCTGGACCTGGGTGGAGGGACTGGCCTGGTGGGTGAGCTGAGGGACGAGCTGGGTAAGCAGCCAGGCTCTGGGCTTGGCCCCAGCTGATGCCCAGTCGGCCTGCACCTTTCCCCTGGCACCAGCTGGGTGAAGGGGCTGGAGCACGACAAGCAGGAGACAGATGTGCACTTCAACTCCCTGACCGGGGAAGGGAACTTCAACTGGCGCTTCGTGTTCCATTTTGACTACCTGCCCACCGAGCGGGAGGTGACCATCCGGCGCCGGCCTGGCCCCTTCGCCCTGGAGGAGGCTGAGTTTCGGCAGCCGGCTGTGCTGGTCCTGCAGGTCTGGGACTATGACCGCATCTCTGCCAACGACTTCCTTGGTAGGCGTAGCCTTCCTCCTACCTCAACCTAGCCCCGATTTCTGCCCCCATTGCCCTGCCCGCCAGCCCTTGGTTCCCTGCTGTAACCCAGCCCTGGATCCTGGGTTTCAGACCCTAAGTCACTAACCTTTGCTCTCTGGTCTACTTACTGAACTTATTCAGCCCTGAGCACCATGACCTCCATTTCGACCCAAAGTCCCTGACGCAGTGCTCTGATTTGACTCCAGCTCAGGTTGCTCTGGACTCCAAGTCCATGCCTTGGTTCCTGCTTTGGCAGTCTGGCCCCGCCCTCGGCCCAGTTTCTTCCGGGGCTGTGGTATGTGGTCCATAGCTGTGGCCTGACCACTACATTCTAACCTCTGATGCCCCGACTTAAAATCCAGCCGTGCTGCCACCTTCCACCCCCCACCCCCCACCCCCATGGCCCAGATGTATCTTGATCTCCTGACTAACTCAGAGGGCTCTGGTCTTGCAGGATCCCTGGAGCTGCAGCTACCGGACATGGTGCGGGGGGCCCGGGCCCCTGAGCTCTGTTCCGTGCGGCTGGCCCGCGACGGGGCTGGGCCGCGGTGCAATCTGTTTCGCTGCCGCCGCTTGCGAGGCTGGTGGCCTGTAGTGAAGCTGCGGGAGCCTGAGGATGAGGAGCGGGAGCAGCGGGAGGCTCAGGCTGGCAAAAAGAGGCGGAAGAGGAGGAGGAGGGGCCGGCCAGAAGACTTAGAGTTCGCAGACCCGGGAGGCAACGTCTACATCCTCACGGTGGGTGTGGCCAGGGCAGGGACCGGCGGGCACGGAGCCAAGCCTCAGCCACAGAAGAGCTCAGCCTCTGTTCTTCCCTTTTCCAGGGGAAGGTGGAGGCCGAGTTTGAGCTGCTGACTGTGGGGGAGGCTGAGAAACGGCCAGTGGGGAAGGGGCGGAAGGAGCCTGAGCCCTTGGAGAAGCCCAAGTGAGTGGGCGGCGGGGAGGCGGCCAGAGCCCGAGGAGAGGGAGTGCGGCGGGCCCAGGGCTTCCTCGTCATCCTGACACCACCTTTCCCCCCAACAGTCGCCCCAAAACCTCCTTCAACTGGTTAGTGAACCCGCTGAAGACCTTCGTCTTCTTCATCTGGCGCCGGTACTGGCGCATCCTGGTGCTCCTGCTGCTGCTGGCGTTGGTCACCATCTTTCTCCTCCTCATCTTCTACACCATGCCCGGCCAGATCAGCGAGGTCATCTTCCGCCCCCTTCACCGCTCCCTGGACTCCAACTGACCTGGGACACTCATCCCATAGCGCCCTGGACGTCCTTACCACCAATATGAGCTATTCCTGTTCCCTGCTTTCTATGAATAAACCTTAGCACCATCCACGCTGATGCCTGAACACAGGCTGTGCATAAAACAGGGGGCAGAGAACAGAGATGTTCTTGGGTGACCTTAGGTGATGACTGGATACCCAGGGATGGAAGGCTGCCCACATGGTCCCACCACTGGGAAGAACAGGACCTGGCAGGAGGTTTAGGGCCAAGGAGACCTGGCCACAGAGGTGACATGCCATCTGGGCAGCCCACCTGTTGCTCCTGCCAATGGTTGGGTTCCTCTCACCTAATCTGTTTATGGCTTCTGCCATTCCATTGACAGCTAAGCACTTTACAAATTTCATAAATTTGTTGATTCTCCAACCCTGAGAGTAGGCATATGAGGTAGGGCACTTTGGGTTGCAAGTAATAATCCCAACCCAAACTGGCTTAAGCAAAAGGAATATTTTGGTTTGCATAGCTGTCAATTCCCAGGGTTTAGCTGGCTGGCTTCAGGTGCAGCTTGTCATAGGGTCCAAATGATGTCACTGAGACCGGTTCTCTGGCCCTGGGCTCAGCTCTGCTGTCCTCTGGGGGCAGCTCATTCTCCGACCAGGTCTCTTCTTGAACTGCAGGATGACTGCAGCAACCTGACTCCCCATAGCCACATCCGGAAGGAAAGCCTTCCTAGTCCTCATAGAACCTGGCTAGTACTAGGTCATTGTGACCAGGGGAGTGGGATGTGCTGATGGGGCCCTCCCCTGGAGCTCAGGGTGGGAGACAGACCCTCCTCCCAAACCACTAAGCTGACAGGATGGACAGGGAGGTTCCCTGAAGAAATTCAGGACACTGTTAACAAGCAGGAATGGTTTTTGGCACCCGCAATTTATAGACAAGACTGGTGTCCACAGAGGGATTAAAATAACAGCTCGCAGTGATCACATCAGAGCTGGATCTCAGGTCTGTCTGCTGCCTCCAGAGGTTTTGTTATCACTGCCCTACTTTGCTTTCTGTTCTCTCTCCGCTTCTACTCTACTATCCTACCCTGAAACTCCCTGAGAAATGAGAGGATCATCTGACCAACTGTTAATGTCTCTGGTTCCCTGGACTGGGGGAGTTTTAAGGTCTTGGGGCCTGGTTCTCCACACGTATTAAGGGCTGTAATGGGAAGCCCTGACAAAGTCCAGAGCTGGGGTCTGATGCTAGCCCTGCTCCTGTCCCTCCCTGTTCTTCAGTTCTGCCTCCACCTGGGAGACTGGCTGGACCCCTTTTGGCACCAGAAGCCAGCAAGGGCTTGGCACAGAGCATGGTCAGAGATCCAGATGATTGAGCCCAGGATGGCAGGGGCCCCAGCTTCCGCCATCACTACAGAGGTGGCAAGCCCTGGCCTGCACCCAGGAAACATCCTGGAAAGGTCTGTCTCAGCCTTGGGGCTGAAACCAGAGGCCCAAAGACCATAGGGGAGGAGGACGTCAGTATGGTTTAACTAAAGCCCTATTACTCGGGGGGTGTCCCGGTAGGGCTCCCAGAGGGCAACTGGCCTGATCCGTTGGTCGTGATTGCCTTCAGTGAGGCTGTGATGAGGGGTTGTTCCCAGGCTCTGGCCAGACCCAAGAACCACACAGAGATCAGCAAGTATTATCACAACCAATAGATTTATCAACCTGGGGTTGTGCTGGACTCTCCGAGTCAGGGGTGGGAGAAGGCTGGGAAAATGACCACAAAGCCAGAGAAACAGGAGGAAGAAGGAACAGGGGCAGGGGCCAACTACGTTGTCTTCCCTAGATCAATTTTCTTCTGGATGGCTCGCGCCGAGTGGTAGATGAGTGAATCGATGAGTCCAGCCACTATGGGGAGACATGAGGTGCTGGCACTGGCCCAGCTCAGCCCTCGGCTTGGCCTCGAGCCTTACTGGCCAGGCCAGCACCTCCCATTGGCCCTTGAGGTGCCCCTCCTCCCCTAATCAAAACCGGGGTGTGTGTGGGGCCCAGGTTTTACATTCCCCATCAGCCCCCAATTTCAAATTGATGCCCTCGAGCTTCTAACCTGTGAACATGCCCCCGATGATAGCGCACACGCCCGTCAGGAAGTGCGTGAAAGACCTGGCAGAGGGGCACAGGGATCAGCAGGCACCCCTACCCCCAAGCCCAGGCCCTTCCCTTTCCCCACCCTCACCTGTGCTTCTCTGTCAGCTTCACCATCATGGGCGAGAGTTCGTAGAGCACGAAGACTCCAGGAAGCCCCTGGTCGCCCAGCAGCCCGTTGGCAACCTTCTCATGTCTGGTCACAGAGAACTGGTTTGTCCTCAGCACCTGGGATGGGAGGAGAGACTGAGCCAGGGCCAGGTCTACAGCCTCACTCCCAAGCCCCCTCCACTCTACCCCTGCTCCTGTCCTGTGTCCTGTAGTGCCTTGAGTGTTGTGGAGGAGAAAACGAGGCCCCATGTTGGTAATGAACACGGAAGGGTCTGGGGACCACCTAAACGCCCTCTCTCAGCCTGACCACCGCAGCTTCCCCTCCGGTCACCAGCTCTTTAAAGTTGACAAATTCCAGCTACGTTTGGTGGATCTTCTCAAGGGGGGAGAGGGGGGGGCGGGGGCGGGTTCCATGGATGAGAAGGAACTCTCCAAGGCTATGCCATGAGCTCCTGGCAAAGCTGGGCCTGACTTCCTCTGCTTCTCAGTCCTGTGCATTCTTACCAGCCTTCTGAGATGCTGTTCCACAGCAGAAAGGGGAGCAGGAGGCCCAGGGAGGGTTAGCCCCCAGCCCAGGGTGGACGATGGGGGACAGTGAGGCAGACAAACAATAGGCACTGGAGGAATGGATGGACGCGGTTTGAACAAGTTATAACAGCAAGTGCTTTGAAATCCAACTGCCCAGGCAGGGCCTGCCCAGGGCTGTGAGGGCAAATCACCTACCCTTTCGGAGCCTTAGCTTGTTGCCCGTCATACGGGAATAAGAGCAGCACTTCACTTCCCGGGTTGAAGGGGCTCAGGTGCTTGGCACCAAGAGGGACTCTGCTTCCTGGGCTCCGCAGACTCACCTCGCCATCGAGCTTCATGTACACTGTGGGTACCACCTTCACAAAGTACTGGAACATCATGGAGGCTGCAGGGAGAAGACCGTACTGGGCATGGGTGCCGGGCAGGGCTCCGGGAGCTGGGGGCTACCTCCCAGGTGGGTACCTTGAGGTGCGGTGACGTTGGTGAGGTCCAGGGGGTTCACAATGCCCGGGTAGTCCTCCCCAAATGACAGGTGCCGGATGTAGTGGGTCATGTTGATCTGTAAGCAACACCAGTGCCTGGGCCTCAGAGCACGGCAGGCCCCACCCACCGAAAGCTCTGCCGTACAGTAGCACACAGGGGCACCTGGGTCTGGAGAGTGGATGTGTGGAGATGGGGGAGGGTGCGAGGGGCCCTGTCGGGGAGAATCTGACCGAGACAGGCACCCCTACTCCCCACCTAGGAACTCCTTTACAGAGTCTGCGGGCTCCTGGGGCTCCGGAGTTTGAGGTTCTGGGGCTGTGTCCAGACCTCAGGCAAACGGACTGGGCAAGGGCCCTTTGTGGCAGGTGCTAGCTTCCCCTGAGGTCTCAAGCCAGGGAAGCCTAGGCTAGAGGGGCCATAGAGTGCCCAGCTCCGGCTCCTGTCCTGCTCCAGTCTATATCAAACTCCGCCACTAGAGGGATTATTAAAAATATGCAAATCTGATTACATCATGACCCCGGTTAAAGTAGGCCAACAACCTTGAACTGCTCTCAGGACAAAGCCCAGACTCTTCAGCATGGCCTGAGTGCTGTGATCTGGCGCCTGCCTAACCTCTCCAGCCTCATTCATCCATACCGGCCCTTGTGGTTCCTGAGAAGTGCCACTGTCCCTCCTGACCTTGACCAAGGTTCCCTCTGCGGGAAATGCTCTTGTCCAACCCCATCTCCTATCTCCAGCCTGCATAGATCTCAGTTCAAAGGTCACTCCCAGTTACTCAACCCTCAGACTGGATCCCCTGTCAGAATGTGGTATATTTTTCTTTATCTGCTCCCCTACCCAAGGATGTCCCTACAGAGAAATGAAGGCAGCAACCGTCTCCCACCCCGTCCGCCCTCCATGGTTTCCACCTGGTACGTACGTTGTCAAGGCCGAAGCTCTGCAAGTCGTGGACTAGGAGAGAAGGGGGAAAGTGTCACCAGGCGGAGCAGGACGGGCCACCTGGCTCCCCCAGAGCCCTGGCTGGGGCCGCCTCACTCCCCCCTCTGAAGTGTGACCTGCCCGGCTCTTTTCTGGCCCCTCATCAGCCCCCTGGCCTCCTCCTTCCCACCCTGGCCTTGCTGGAGGGCAGCCAGAAAGGGCCTGCTTTGGGCCTGTGCGAGAGGCCACGCCCTGCTCAGAGGTCTTAAAAACAGACCCCAGCTCTTCCCTGACATACAGGAGCCTTTTATGGGCATCATTCCAGGCCTTCACTCCTACCATGGCCCTGCTGGCATCTCAGGAAGTAAAACCCCTTGACTTCGGTCTCTCATTAAATAGAGCCGATGGCCAATCACTGAACCCCAAAGTGAGGCAGGACCTGAGAATGCTCTTTCCCTGACTCCTCTACCCCCACCTGCAGAGCCCCCCAGAAGGAAATCCTATGGGTACCCTGTACCATCTGTCCCAGAATAAGTTCTTCCAGCCCGCTGACCCTGATCCCTCCTGCTGGGAGGAACCCCAACTCAAAGATATTGGGTTGCTGGAAAAGTCATGACATATTTTTTTCTATGTTTTGCATTGCAAAAATGCGTCATGACTTTTCCAACAACCCAACAGGTCCCAGTGCTTTTTAGTCACCCAGCAGCCAGGCCAGAGAAGGCCCCAAACCCAGGCCCATCCACACCTCCCCCCATCCTGTGAGGCAGGCTGCCCCCAGAGGAGGCAGGGCCACTTACTCTCCACAGCATGTACTGCAGCATGGGGGAGGGGAGGGGAGAGAAGGGAAGGAGAGAAAAAAGATTCAGAGCTGCACAATGAGAACTATAGAGCAAGATGTGTGGTAGAAGGGGAGGCTGGAATATTCTTGCCTCAACAGCAGGGTCTGGACCCAGCTGCCAAGCTTCCTCCTGGTTTAAAGGAGACAGTCCCTGGCCAGGAAAGAGTGCAAGGGGGCTTGGGGGTAGAAGTATGGTGGCCTAGGAAGAACAAAAGACCTAGAGCCCAAACAGCCACTTTTCTAGCTGTGTGACCTTGGTCCAACCACCTGCCCTCTCTGGGCCTCAGTGATCTGCTCTGCACCCGGCTGTCCTGAAGACCAGGTAGGATTTAAGACAGAAAAGTGCTTGGTAAACTTTATATAATCTCTCCTCCTCCCCCACCCAAATCAACAGGATGTCAGGAACTAGCTCCCTGGCCTTCAATTCAGCCAGATCTCTGGCCTTGGGCACTGTAGCTTTGTACTTTGAACATCCTTCCAGGGGACAATACACTCTTTGTCCTGGGTGCCCCACGCTACTGCCACTTCCGGCACCATCTCCTGCTGAGTGCCTGCAGGCCCCGTGCGCCCACAGCTCAACACTGACTCTCTTCCCTCAATCCCAGTGAGTGCACCCTTCTCCGGCCCTCTCCAGAGTAAAGGGGGCTCCGGACCCACCTACCTGCCCCTCCCCAACACTCGGCCTCACCCCCACAAACTGCGTTGAAGACCAGCAGGTCTATCTCCACTGGGCCTGGTACTCCTGCTCACCTTTGTCACTGGGCAGCTCAGGACTGCCAGGTCATTTCTCAGGCCCTGAACTCTTGTCACAATGTGGCTCTGTTCATCCCCTAATATGATCCCGGCTCCCATCCTTCCTAGACCTTCCATGGGCCCTGCTACTCATCAGCAGAAACCTCATGTCTTCAACCTCTAAATGTTCCCCTCATCTTGCTCCAACCACAGCCTGGCTCTCCCTTGAAGGTACCATTTCCCTTGCAGCCCTGCAACGGGTGACTACTCTCCCACACCCGTCCTCCCCCTTGGTCTAAAGAGAGGTCCTTGCGCCTTAACGCCCCTCCCAGATCACTGTCCCTAGATCGTCTCTAAAAATCTCCAGCTTTGCAGCTCATAGCCAGCTGTATCACCACATAGCCCTACTTGTTTCAGTCACTTAGAGCTCTACACAGAACCCCCAAGGGCAGCCCTCCTGCACCGTTTCTCAAAGGTTGTAGCCACTGGCCACCACTCTCATGCGATCCTGTCAAAATTTGTGGTGATTTCCATATCACCCAGCTGCATGGTTTGCCTTTCCTCCCGTTGCCACGTTTGAGCTTTCTACACTTTTGAGGGACTAGATTCTGTTTTTTCCTTCTTAAGGCCCTCACTCCAATAACTGTCCCTCTCATCTC